GATAAACAATCTAGTCGGAATGTCCTTACAATAAAACCATGTTTTTTTCTTCTGGGTAGATGCCTAGTAACGGGGTGGTGGGATCAAATGAAAGTCCTATTTTAAGTTCATTAAGGATTCTCCATACTTCTTGCCAAAGAGGCTGCTTTAGTTTGCAATCCCACCAACCATGTAAAAGTGATCCCTTCTTTCCGCCTCCATGCCAGCACCTGCAGCTTTTCAACTTTGTGATGTGGGCTATTCTCACCCGGGTTAGGCGATATCTCAAGGTGGTTTTAATTTGCATTTCTCTGATGATCAGGGACAATAACATTTTTTAGGTTTGTTAGCCACTTATCTGTCTTCCTCAGAGAAGGTTCTGTTCGTGTCTCTGACCCGTGATGGATGAGACTGTTTGCTCCTCTTTTGTTGATTAACTTGAGTTTTCTACAGATTCTAGTTATCGACCCTTTATCAGATTCATAACATGCCGGTATCTTTTCCCAGTCTGAAGGTTGTCTGCAAGCTCCAGCTGTTGTGCTCTCAGCTAGGCAGAAGCTTTTCAGCAAAGCATACCATTTTAAGTTAGCAGCTTTACCCCCCAAACTCCTTTTTATTGCTTTTCCAATTTCTTCATTTCACCTGGCTGTCATCCGGTGAGACAGACTGACTTTAGAAATAGCCTTCCTTCTTTCAAGGCAAATTATATCTACCACACTTTCCATATACATTGCTTGAAACTCACCATCAGTAAATGGTTTTGATTTTTTTTGCTATTAAACATGCTACCAGATAGCTAGCTTTTACAAGGGAATCTTTATACATTTTAGCTTTTAAAAGTTTTTAAAAACAGTTTTTGAGAAGACAGACTTTTTTCGGTTCTGCTCTTTTCTCCTCACGACGCAGTCCTTCACGTGCATTGAATTGGGCACCGTGTTTTTGCATATAATGCCTTTTCAGATTATAGTCTTTGAACACTTGCACAAATTCCCAACAAATTAAGCAGAGTCTCTTACTCTCTGCCTTGGCAAAAAAGTGCTCCGTCTGTCTACTTTTCCCTGAACAATTTTCCTTTGTCCATCATTTTTCTTTTGGGGGGGGGGGTTTGTGTTTTCTTTTGAGACATTGTAGAAGCAATGCTGGAATTAAAAAATAATAATACTACATAAGGGACTGTATTTATTTTTGTTCTAAAAATTAAGTGACAGGAAAAGAGAAGTTTGGGCCCTTCCACATCTCAGCTACTGATACAAGATGAGGCAAAGGGCTGATTGTGAAGTATGGTGGGCAACATGTGAGGTACCACCGAGGTGTGGAATTACCTTCATCTTCAAATAAGAACTCCCCTGACTCTTAAATAACATTAAACACCTCATGTGGCTATGGTAGGTTGAAATATTATTGATAGTCACTGCCTCACCAAGTCACCACGAGCACATGGAACATCTGACGGTGTTAATTCGACCCTCTGAACTTGGATAATAACACATAGGAAGCTGAGCACCTCCGTAAGACTGAAGCCACATATGTGTACAAATACCGCACGCTTATTTTACATGACATTGCAACATGACATTGTTGTCTACATGCTCAAGAACCATGCAATCGAATTCCACCAAAAAATGACACAATACAAATCTCATGATGTTTTAAGTGAGTTTATGATTTTGTGTTGGGCTGCATTCACAGTCATCCACAGGCCATGGCAGGACACAACCGCTCTACACCAAGACAACTGTTTTGTCCTAAGAAAGGAGTGACCTGCTTACCCCACGTGGCCTGCCTTCCATCCTCCCTACAACCCTATACCCCACCCTAGCCCTGGAGCTCTGGCAGTTTCCCTGAGACGCTCTCCCCCCTACCCCCTGTTGCCAGGTCCACTTTGTCATTCAACCATTCCCAATTCATTGAGGCCATCAGTGAGCAAGACCCTCCCCTCTAATGTCCGCCCATCACACGTCATCTTACCTGACCACTCACAGAGATCAGCTTGTCTATCCACTGCCCCTCTTGTTCCCTGCCCATCTTCTTGCTCTAGATGGAATTGTAGCCCCTAAAAGACACATCCAAGTCCTAACCCTTGATAACTGTCGGTGCAGCCTTATTTGGAAATAGGATCTTTGCAGATGTGAGAAGCTGAAATGAGATTATGCCAGAGTAGGTTGGGCCCTGGTCCAAGACATGAAGAGGAAAGAGACACACAGGGAAACACCATGTGAAGACAGAGGGCGCCAGAAATGCAGGAGGCAGAGGCTGGACTGATGTGGTTGTAGACCAGGGAACACCAGTAACCCATGGCCAGAGGTGAGGGAGGTCTTCTCCTACAGGCTTCACCGCCCTGCAGTCACCTTGATTCTGGACCTCTGGCCTCCAAGGTATCTGGGAGAATAAACTTCTATTGTTTTAAGACACACAGTTTGTGTGGTTTTGTTACAACAGCCCTAGGTCCCTCAGCCAAAACTCTCATTCACGGTTCCTGCTGTTGTGACACTGGCTCGTTTGCTCCCACAGACTCAGCTCGGAGGGCAGGGCCCGCGTTGGCAGCAGTCAGTAATAGTTACACAGGCGATGGCTGAGCTCACAGGTCTCTCAGTGCCCCAGCCTGCCAGTCACTGAGCCTCCAGAGCCTTCCACACGTGGGGAGCAGGGCAGGTGCACACAGGAGGGCAGACCCAGTGAGCCCCGGCACCAGCCACTCTGAAAGGGGAACACGTTTCTGTCCGAGAGCTCAGAACAGGTGCATCGGTGACCCCAGCTGACCCTTCCAGCCCTGTTCAGCCAAACCCACCCAGGGCCGCCACATTCCTAAAGTTAAACTACGATAGAGCTTGCTGGGGCAGGGCAGGGAGCCTGCCAGGAGACCCGGGGGCATGAGCTGGGCTGGGGCTCTGCACGAGTGGGCCCATCAGGTACCTGCCTCACCCCATTAATCATCCTTCATGAGAAAACTCAGAGACATGGTCTTATTCAAAGCCTTGGGGGATTGGCCAAAGTAAACATGCGTAACTCCTGAGAATGGGCACCACCGCTCTTCCTGTAGTTAGGCCTGGGGCCCAGGGCACGGCCCCCCAGGGTCCACTGGGACACCTGAGTAGTAAGATTTAGAACTGACCGCCAAGGTTGTCGGCCCCACTCCCACACCATCCCTTGGCAGGGAAGAAGTACAAGGCAGTGCAGGGCGGGGGAGGCTTTATGAAAATTTAAACCACACTGCGATGCCATTTGTCACCCATCAGCCTGACAATGATCACACAGGCCTAGTCATGACCATCTTCCCTGCCTGCCGGGTGTAGAAACTGACCCCAGCTCCAAGCAGGGCTGCTCAGGAACATGCACCAGGGTCTCCAATGGGTGTGCCCCCAGCACCTATCCCACTGACAGGCGTGCACAGGTGCCTACAGGAGGGACCACCACACTCACACGGGGAACTAGGGGAATATCTCCTGTTTTGTGGTGAAGGTTCCAAGGACAAGGATACTCCGTGTGAACTAACAAGGAAGCCAGGCCAAGTGTGAGCATATGGCGGACTCTGTGGAAGTGCAGAAACACACACGTGTACTTGAAGAGACTCAAGAAACTGGGACTTGGGCAGTACCTGTGGCTCAGCGGGTAGGGCGCTGGCCCCACAGACCGAGGGTGGAGGGTTTGAACCCGGCTCGGCCAAACTGAAACAAAAAATAGTCGGGTGTTGTGGCTGGCACTTGTCGTCCCAGCTATTTGGAAGGCTGAGGCAAGAGAATCGCTTAAACCCAAAAGTTGTAGGTTGAGGCTGTGACGCCACGGCACTCCACCGAGGGCGATAAAGTGAGACTCTGTCTCTAAAAAGAAAAAAGAGGGCGGCGCCTGTGGCTCAAGGAGTAGGGCACTGGCCCCATATGCTGGAGGTGGTGGGTTCCAACCCAGCCCCAGCCAAAAACTGCAAAAAAAAAAAAAAAAAAAAAAAGAAAGAAAGAAAGAAAGTGGGACAGGAGCTGCCTCAGGGATAGGACCCGGGGCTCAGAGGTAGAAGGCAGTCTTAATTTTCACTGTAGTTACTTTTCTTTCTTTTTAATTTTATACCATGAATTAGTCTTCCCTATTCAAAAACAAATTTTGAAACAAATGTTTTACGTTAGCACCGGCTCCAGCTTCCCAAACACAGGCTCCAGCCCTAATGTGGCCATTTCCTCTCTGGGTGGCCTCACCCTCCGGCTTTGACCACTTCTATTCTCCCCGATTTTGCAGCCACCCATGTCAGAAGGCTCTTGTGAATATGAAGTGAGATAACCAATGAAAACCCTGCAAATGTCTAGAAAAGCTTTCTTTTCTCGGTATTTAAGATGACCCCCAAATAGCAGTGCTTGGCAAACATGGCGGAGAAGGTTCCTCTGCCCCTGTCTGCAGTAACCAGTCCCCCATCTCACGGAAAATGCTGGACTGACCGTCAGAGGGAGACGCCCACACCGCCCTTCTTCCTCTATCTCCCACGCCAAGGCATCTGGGCAGGGAGGCCACAGAAGCCATAGGAGTCCAGCAACCCGGGACTGAAGAGTGTAATTGTTAGATGGCCCAGACCTTCTCTTCTCCTGCTTTCCTCTACAAGACCTGGACATTAAAGGGCCTCAGGAAATTAAAGTCTTTCAGCACAAACTTTTGGTTCCTGACCTAGGATTCTTGGAAGGCTAGGAGTTCCCTATTTGTTTTTGATTTGGGATTTTCCCCCCTAATGCTTTAAGGCGATGGCCACTTTGATTTTTTGCCTGACCTCTTGTCCTGGGTTTCAGTGATGTTCCTCCTCTTCTCCTTCTCTTCTGTGCCAGATCCAGACGGCCCAGAAATACCTAAAGGGGGACACGTACCCCGGCGCTTCCCGGCCTGCTGCTATTCCTGCCTGAAGTCACTGATGCTAACAGTTTTACACACCATACACCTTTTAACATGGTGTCTTTACAGGGCCTGGCGTGTGGTTGGTGTTCCAGGGCCGAAGCCAATCTGGCCGGCCCTCCAGCCATCATCCCTCCCAGGCACAGCTCGGCACCCACCTGCTCAAGTGCTCCTGGAGCACCTGGTAGACACTGATCCGGAACGTCTCGTTATCGAAGCGTTCCCGGATGTAGTCCTTGTAGATCCGGAATTCTGCTGCCGTCACAGCTTCCCCTTCTGGGATCTTGGAAAGATCAAACCGGAACTCCCGATGGTGGTAGCGCGGGTGGAAGAATTCTCGGTCGTGTTCCACTGGAAGGGGAAGAACACACACCAGCACCAAAAGCCCATTAGTGTCTGCTTTTCACTCTCCCATCTCAGAGCCCAAGCATCTTCCTAAGCCCGATGAAGGCTTGCCCGCTGCCAGCGACGCCTGCTGACAAGGGCCTATCCCACAGTGACCCTGCAGATAGGAGGTCACAGGCTCAGGCCCATGGTCATCTTCAACAAGAGCATGACTCTGCAACCAACCTACTGGGGAGTGGGGCACTGCCCACAGCAGCTGTCGAGAGGTCCTGGCCAGACTCAGGCCTGGGCTGGAATCCAGCCTCAGCCACTAGCCAGCTGTGTGGCCCTGGGCAAGGTGCCAGGCAACCTATTTGGACCTTAATTTCTTCATCTAAAAACTGGGGATAATAATCCCCTTTCATGGGTTGTTGTCAGGGCAGAGTGACCTAACTTATATAAATAGTTAAACATCTGTCAGGGCTAGATAACTATTAGCTACTGTCAGCAAGCATAAATCTTACTATGAATATCATAGGGTGCCTCGGGGCCAGTAGTTCTAGGACCTGGGTGCACGTGAAAGTCATCCAGGAAGCTCTTAAAAATTATTGATACCCAGTGGTGGCTGATAGACATTTCCTGACTGGCTCTCTAGGAGCTGATCTGAAGTATTTGCCAATTTCCATGGTGTAAATACCACCACGTTGGCAGATTTCAAGCTACCAAAGTGAGGCCACTGAGCTTAGAGCTGGGAAGGGAAGCAAACACTGGGATCCAGCATCTGGCTGTTCCTACCCCACCCCGAACCAAGGGCATCATGTCTTTCAGGAGGAATCTGAAAGTCTCTACTTGTTAAAGCACCTACAGACATTCCTAATGAGTAGCCAGGGCTTACAAGCACAGCCTCAGACTACAAGTTGTAAAAGAGGTGAATGGCAGAGCCCTGGGGACTTTCAAAAATAACTATAGGACATAACCAGGCAAAAGGCCTCAGCCCTTCTTCACACGGCAGTGATGTTAGAGTAGCCCCGGGAGGTGGAAGGTGTGTACCTGAGATCCAAGGTGCCCCATGGTCTGCCAGGGTAGGCCAGAGAGCTGAGACTCAAAGCCAGGTCCCTTGGCCATGTCCACAGTTGGGCAGGGAGAGCTCCTTTGCTGGTTTGTTAGAACTTTTTTTTTTAAGACAGAGTCTCACTAGGTCACCCTCTGTAGAGTGCTGTTGTGTCACAGCTCACTGCAAACTCTTCAATCTCTTGGGCTTAAGCAATTCTCTTGCTTCAGCCTCTCAAGTAGCTGGGAGGTGCCCACCACAAAACATGGCTATTTTTTGGTTACATTTGTCATTGTTGTTTAGCAGGCCCAGGCCAGGCTCAAACCCACCAGCTCCAGTGTATGTGGCTGGCACTCCACTCACTGAGTTATAGGTGCCGAGCCTGTTAGAACTTTTTTTTTTTTTTGAAACAGAGCCTCAAGCTGTCCCCCTGGGTAGAGTGCCATAGCATCACAGCTCACAGCAACCTCAACTCCTAGGCTCAAGTGAGTCTCTTGCCTCAGCCTCCCAAGTTGCTGGGACTACAGGCGCCCGCCACAACAATTGGCTATTTTTTGGTTGCAGCCATCATTGTTGTTTGGCGGGCCCAGGCTGGATTCGAACCTGCCACTTTAGGTGTACGTGGCTGGCGCCTTAGCCACTTGAGCCACAGGCGCCGAGCCCTGTTAGAACTTTTTAATTACACTAGTACATACACGTAGCATGTGCCCTGAGCCTGCGTGCACAGCTCAGTAAACTGTCACAAAGGGGGAGCTTCGTCTCGTATCAAGAAACAGAACATCACTAATCCCCTCCCCTTCCCTGACTGCTCAAGCCAGGGTTAATTTTGGCTGTTTTGGAACATTCTATGTGGGGTGTGATATAGTACGTGTTCTTTTGTCCCTGGCTTCTCTCATTTAATGGTGCTCGTGTGATCCACCCATGTCACTGTGAATGTCCACTAATCCTCGCTGTCATATGAGACACCATGGTTTTATTAGGCCACAATTCACTTGGCCATTCTACTGTCCATGGACATTTGGGTAGTTTCCAAATCAGGGCTCTGCTGAACATGGGGACACATACCTAAAAGTGGAATTGTGGGCCGGGCGCAGTGGCTCACGCTTGTAATTCTAGCACTCTGGGAGGCTGAGGTGGGTGGATTGCCTGAGTTCACAGCTTCAAGACCAGCCTGAGCGAGAGTGAGACCCCGTCTCTAAAAATAGCTGGGCGTTGTGGCAAGCTCCTGTAGTCCCAGCTACTTGGGAGGCGGTGGCAAGAGAAACCCTTGAGCCCAGGAATCTGAGGTTGCTGTGAGCTGTGACAACACAGCACTCTAACAGGGGCAAGAGAGACTCTATCTCAAAAAAAAGAAAAAGTGGAATTGTGATTATTCAGTGTTGGTGAACAAGCAGAGTGTGTGGCCAAGCCATTCCCCCAGAGTGCTACAGCTGAAGAGTTTTAAGAACACACCAGAAGGAGAGAGGAAGAGGCCAGGCCTGCCCTATGCAGGAGATGGCACAGTCTAGGGACGCTCACAGACTCCTCAACTGCTTTTCTCCCCAGGAGACCAGGAAAGATGAAGCTTGGATAAAGTCTCATTCCAACCCTCTTCCCCTCTCCTCCCCAGCATGACCAAATCTCCAGAGGCTGGGAAGAGCCCTGGAGTGTGCAATGCTTCCACTGCTGGGGCTGCTCCAGCAATCACGCCCCAAGTATGACGCTGCCGCCTCCAGCACAGCAAGTCCCCGGTAAAGCTCAGCTCCCCTGCTCCTGATGTTGGGGTGGGCTGCACCTTCAGAGCAGCCCCTGGTAGAAACACAGATCAACCGAGCAGAGAACTGCCCTGGGAGCTCCTGGTGACAAGTGAGGGTGGCTGGAGAACCCAAACAGGCAAAAGGCACATTTACTGAGTGCTTACCCCATGACCAGCGACACCGACAGACGCTGGTGAGGCAGAACTGATCCCCATTCCACAGATGAGGAAACTGAGGCCTAGGAAGGTCAGATAACTTATCTGAGGTCACAAATCAAGTGAATGGCTGAACTCGGAAACCCATATTCCTGACCTTAACACTCTGGAGCTCAGGGGCCTACACCTGAATCTCAGCTGTGTCACTTGGCAGCCGTGTGACGTTGCCCGAATTACTTTGTCCCTATGTGTCCCTTCCTGCTCAGGTGTGGTAATAATGGTGCTTTATCATGGAGGTGTTAGAAGCACACAGGAGTCAACACTGGTATAGGCACCTGGCAAACAGTAAGCCATGTGTGATTGCCAGTGTCACAGAACCTCTAAATGATGAGCTGGGAGGGTGACAATCAGTGTAGGAGCAGCAATGAGTGCACGTGAGTGCTGACATTGTTCAGTTATGATCACTTTATTTGCCAAAAAAGGAAACTGCAGCAGACCCAACCATAAAGATATGTTTGCATAAGCCTGACATAAACGCAATCATTCAAGTCACACCCAGTGGAGAAACACAAAGTGCTGCGTAACCTTTCCCAATGCAGGAGATAAACTGTATCTTAGCTGTTAAGGCAGTGAAGATACCAAGGTTCTAGAAACAAAGTGACCAGCCACATTCTTGCAAACATTTGTAGGCTCTTTGGGGTGGACAGCCTTCCTTAATTATTTCAAGACAATTAAAGACACGAAGCATGATGTCATTCTGTTCTTTCTGAAACCCATATTGTCACATGTTCCAAAATTAATTATGTATGAATTATCAAAGAATAGTCATGGAGTTCACACACACGTGCACACAGTCCTCAATCATTCAAAGTTCAAAACAAATTGCAAATCTCATCGTCCCCAAGTTTCCCTTTTGTAAGGGAACCAGAGTGTGATATCTGCATCATTTCAACTCAGGTATCAAGACGATTTGATTGTAACTATTAAAGTAGGCAGAAGCTTGCGTGTACTTTCAGGGAGAAAATGCATACTTTCTTCTTAACCTACCATAGTGGGTTACCCTGATTGCCCAGGACTTGCATTTTAAACTGTCTAGAGTTGGCATTTCCCTGGGCCCATGGAGAAAAGCTTCCTAAGGGCTGGCACGATGGTTCATACCTGGCATCCCAGCACTCGGGGAGGCTGAGGCAGGTCAGGTGGATGGCTTGAGCTCAGGAGTTCAAGACCAGTCTAAGCAAGACCTCGGCGACTCCATCTCTATTAAAAATAGAAAATCTAACAGTTGTCATGGTGGGTGCCTGTAGTCCTAGCTACTCGGGAGGCTGAGGCAAAAGGATTACTTAAGTCCAAAAGTTTGGGGTTGCTGTGAGCTATGATGCCACAGCACTCTACCCAGGGCAAAGAGTGAGACACTGTCTTAAAAAAAAAAAAAAAAGAAAGAAAGGAAAAAGAAAAGCTTTCTAAGGAAACCAGAGGCTGGGATTAAAGCCTTTTCTCCCTCTGCCAGTTACATTCCAGCACCCCATGGGCCAAGAGAGCTCATAGGCTTTAACTGAGGACTTTCATCTTCAAAAGATAAAAAAGGGCCCAAATCCCCATGACCAAGAGATAAGTCCAAAGAAAATGGATTCCGGAAAACACTATCCATCCTGACAGCCCCATGACCATCCCCACAGCCGATTCCAGTGTCCTTCCTTTGTACAAGCCTGAAATAACAACACCCAAATTGGGGGGGGGGATTCTGGGCTGGAGGGAGTCACTGAAGAGTTAGAGGCAGGAACAAGAGGTTGCTCACGTGGGCGCCCCTGTCATGACCCTCTGCCCCATCAGGAAGACCTCAACCCCTGTGGAAATCATGCCAGGACACCAGCAGCACCCAGGAACGTCCTGCTCCACTCAGCATCCGGGCTTCGTCCTCTCACTTACTATTATAAGAAATGTCCCGGCAAACTCCTTGCTAAGTTAGAGTCCTCTGAACAAGGGTGCTTATGTGTATACCTGATCACACACAAAAGTAAATGGAACAACGAAGTCTTACAAATGTGAGAAGATGGGTGAAGAAGATACAGTATTTCTCCCACTGCC